AAAGTCTTCTCCAGAAATTTGCAGCTCAGGAGCTGATTGAGGTAAAGCGAGGTCTCCTACAAGACGATGCACATCCCACCCTTGTAACTTATGCTGACCACTCCAAGCTCTCTGCCATGATGGGCGCTGTGGCGGACAAGAAAGGCCTCGGAGAGGGAGCCGGGACTATCACAGGGCAGAAACGGCGTGCAGAACAGGACTCGACTACAGTGGCTGCCTTTGCCAGCTCCTTAGCATCTGGTTTGACCTCTTCAACATCAGAGCCAGTTAAGGAGCCAGCTAAGAAGTCAAGGAAACATGCTGCCTCAGATGTTGATCTGGAGATAGAAAGTCTTCTGAACCAACAGTCTACTAAAGAGCAGCAGAGCAAAAAGGTAGGGTCACATGGAAATGCTCACATTGTGCTCTCATTTGCAGTTTTGATTTGTTACCTTTGACAAGGAGTATTTTTAGAATTAAGACATAGAGCAGGGGTTCCCAACTGGAGATGGTTCCTCTACCTTCTCCTCCATCCGTGTTTAGCAGTGTCTTGCTGCATTGTTGTCACAGCATGGGAGAGCGCTACTGAAACTGAGTAGATACACAGACACAGGATCTAGAAGGCAGGGGCCAAAAATCTGCTAAACACACTACCCCGCATAAAACTATCTAGCCAAAGTATCAATAATTCCCTTGTTAGGAAGTCCTGAATTATGGAATCTATTTGGGTGAATCCTTAGAAGAGGATTCAGAGAAAAGAGAAATTCAAATAGATATAGGAAGACAAGTGGAGAATACTAAACGATACTCCTTTAGATCAAGTTACAGAAATCAATGAAATTATCAAGACAATCGTTCTGATTAGAACTACATTGAATTTTCATGTTTATGACTTCTAGTTTAGTTATAAAAATTTAGTTTGACCTTCTATGAGGATAACTAGTATTTTCCCTTACAGAATTATCAAATTTCTGAGATAAGCAATAAAATATTGGCATTGTCTCTTTCTTAGTACCCAATCAAAAAAAAAAATTGGCTTAAGGGGACATTATACTCTTAGGTATATGCGATCTGCTTGGTACTCAGTTGTAGAAAGCAGGGTCTTCAGATCAAGTTCCTTTCTAAATACTTGTGAGGACTGAACCCATCCTACATTGTTAGCTCCTTTATCTCTTATTAGACATTACTAGGAGGTAGACTTGAGGTGGTTTAAGGGCTAATTTATCTACAAATCCTTAAGACCAAGGCTACTTCTGTCAAACAGGTCAGTCAGGAGATCCTAGAGCTATTAAATACCACAACAGCCAAGGAACAATCCATTGTTGAAAAGTTCCGCTCTCGAGGTCGGGCCCAGGTGCAAGAATTTTGTGACTATGGGACCAAGGAAGAGTGCATGAAAGCCACTGATGCTGACCGGCCTTGTCGCAAGCTGCACTTCAGGTCTCTTGGGAGGGAATGAGGTGGGGAGGGTTTTTCCAGAAACAGGAATTCTTTTCAGCATATTCTGTCTTTGGGATGGCCATTGTGTGTAACTAAGAGATTTCTAGTCAGGCATCTGTGTCTCTGACCAATAGTGAAAGTTAAAGTTTTCTGGAAGGAGGATAGAAACTGGCTTAGGGCCGGTATTTTATTCTGACCTAACAACCTTCTCTAGGAAGAGAAGAAAGTCTGTATTTTCTTGCTTTTGAGATAGGGTTTTTGCAGCTCAGGCTGCCTGTGATGACCTTTCTAACCTTAGTGCTGGGATTATAGGCCTAAACCACTGCACCCAGGTCAAGTCTTTTTCAAAAGAAAAACTAGTTCTTTTAGTTTAGTAATACAGAAAATTAGGGGAGAATAAGAAATCCTGCATTTGAATATATGATTTACTTCTGAAGTATCATTTGGATTCTGATTCCCCTTTTTTATATTTTCCCAGACGAATTATCAATAAGCACACTGATGAGTCTTTAGGAGACTGCTCTTTCCTTAACACATGTTTCCACATGGATACCTGCAAATATGTTCACTATGAAATTGATGCTTGCATGGATTCTGAGGGTCCTGGCAGCAAGGAGCATACGCCAAGCCAGGAGCTTGCTCTTACGCAGAGTGTTGGGGGTGACTCCAGCGCAGATCGACTCTTTCCACCTCAGGTACCTGCATGTCTGGACAGCCTATAGACAAACTGAATGGGAAACCTGTACATGTAGAAAAATAGGGAATAATGTAGCAGTCTGGCTCACTGATGGGAATGGAATGGGATAGGAACACTTGAGTTAGAGGGTTTGGGACCATCAATCTGTGAAGGAAGGAAAGATGACCAAATACTACCTCATGCAGTGGATCTGTTGTGATATCCGCTACCTGGACGTCAGTATCTTGGGCAAATTTGCAGTTGTGATGGCTGACCCACCTTGGGATATTCACATGGAACTACCATATGGGACCTTAACAGATGATGAGATGCGCAGGCTCAATATCCCAGTACTGCAGGATGACGGCTTTCTTTTCCTCTGGGTCACAGGCAGGTAATATAATCCAGATACGTAGGTATGGGCAAATATAGTACAGTGTGAAAACCGGGGGGAATAAAATCCTAAATGTGTTACTGATTTAAGGATGCCACCCTCTTCCATGAGGTTTTCTGAGGCCTGCGGATAAGTGTCACTGATTTAGGGTGCCAAGCCTCCTCCATGGGGCTTAATGTTTATAGCACAAATACTTGGGATTCTTGATTTTAGAAAAATAAAGTCATTTAGATACCATTTCATCTTTTCATAGATTTATTTGGCTGCACTGATGGTGTTTTCCATGTAAATGTTTGAATGTTTATAATACATTAAATATTTTGAAAGGAAAAATATAGACAAACAAGTTGTTTAACCCTTACATCTTTCTAGGGCCATGGAATTGGGCAGAGAGTGTCTGAACCTCTGGGGGTAAGTAGGAGCTGTGTTTTCTGAGGGAAATTGACTTCTCTCAATACTCCTATCAGTCTTTGCCTTTGTATCCAGCACTGTGCCTCAACTGTAAAGCTAGCTACAGTTATAGCTGTCTGTTCCAGCTATGAACGGGTGGATGAGATCATCTGGGTGAAGACTAACCAGCTGCAGCGCATCATTAGGACAGGACGGACAGGTCACTGGTTGAACCACGGAAAGGAACACTGCTTGGTGAGTGACAGGCCCAACTTAGTAAGAGGGCCTGTTTAAAAGTCCAAAAGCTGTGGTTTCCTAAGGTAACAATGTGTTCTCTGTGGTGAGCAGGTTGGTGTCAAAGGAAATCCCCAAGGCTTCAACCAGGGTCTGGATTGTGATGTGATTGTAGCTGAGGTATGTGCTCCCCCAGGCATCTGAAACTGTCAGGTATAGTCTCCAACATTTAATTCATTTGGATAACAGACAGACAGAGCTAGAATTGCAATCTTGGGAAAAGCTTTTTTTTTTTTTTAATTATTTTTGCTTCATGTGTGTCAGTGTTTTGCCTGTATATAATTCTTTGTGAACTGTCAGATCCCCTGGAACTGGAGCACAGAATACTGAGCTGCCATGGGGGTTCTGGGAGTTGAACCTGGGTCCTCTGGAAGAACAGTCAGTGCTCCTAACTGCTTAGCTACCTCTCCAGCTCTATAATCTTGAATGACTTTAAGTAGCTTGGTTTTTATTTTCTAGGTTCGTTCCACCAGTCATAAACCAGATGAAATATATGGCATGATTGAAAGACTGTCCCCAGGCACCCGCAAGATCGAGTTATTTGGACGACCACACAATGTGCAACCCAACTGGTAACATTCCCACAACAGGCAAAACTCTACAGACAGGCTGTAAAGAACTCAGGAGGCTTAAGCTTATGTTTAGATCCTTTTCCTGGACTACATTTCAAAGGGCTGTTCTTAAACAGCCTAAGGATCCTCAGCTAGTCTATGGGATATATTAAATCTGCCCCCTAGTGACTACTAATTATTTACTAATTATTATCTGTCAGTTTTAGTGCTTTTGACTCCTGTGGCTGGCATTTTAATTATCAAAGATTATTCATTGGCAATGACTATGAATGAAATAGGTAGGCCTGGCTAATAACATCAGTTACTAATCCTGAAATATGCAGATCCAGCTGACCTGAGTCTGAGGCAAAAGGATTACAAGTTAAATTAATGAATTTAATTTAGTATCAAAAGGTGTTGACTGATATAGTTCAGCATTAGAGCATATATATATGACCCCTAGATTCAATCCCCAATTACAACTACCACCACCAAAGAAAAATCCAGCCAGTTTTAATATCTGCACCTGTACCAAGTTAGCCCCAGCACTTGGGAGGCAGAGGTAGGCAAATCTGTGAATTCAAGGTTAGCCTGGTCTACACAGAGAGCCTGAGACCCAACGGGAAACAAAACCTGGCATGAACAGTGTTGAGCCCTTACAGGATGTTTTGGTTTGCCTCCTCTTCCCCCCTTGTTTTAGGATTACTCTTGGAAACCAACTGGATGGGATACACCTACTAGACCCAGATGTGGTTGCCCGGTTTAAGCAAAGGTATCCAGATGGTATCATCTCTAAGCCTAAGAATTTATAAAAGCCATGGTTCCACAGGCTTCGCCTTAAGAGGAGTGTTTATACAATAGTGTCACCCACCATATTTAAATAAAAGTTTGTATTGTAATTGAGATTTCTGAAGTGAAATTCTGGCTTTCGCCACTTAGCATGTGTTCTTGTGCAAGTCTTTTTCTCAGTATGTAAGAGGAATGTTAGCTACCTATTTCATGAGTTTTGAGTATTCAAATTAAATGGATAATATTGAATAGCATTAACATGTCAATCATTACAAAACATCTACACAGGTTCACAGTGCTTAGCAATTAGTACACCATAAACAGGGTTAATTGTTGAATTTTACTTAGTTTTACCAGGCATGTGTTTTGCTAATTCTATAGCTTATTTCTAAGAAAAATAAGATCATCTTCAGTTAAAGAAGAACCTAGATAGAATATAAAAGAATTAGCTTATGCTTTATGTAAATGAAAGCACATTTAAAAGATGTTTCATCAAACACAACTTCTTTACTTCGCAAAACCTCTCATTAAGGGTATAGAGTTCTGCCTCTTACATGCAAAACTAGTAATCAAGTCAGGTAAAGAAAGTTTTGACTGCAGAAATGCTTGTAGAGGAAAAAAATCCTGGATGATGTCATCTCCCCTCCAGTCCAATGTGCTGAGAGAGAGGAGGAATGAGGAGGGGACCTTGAGACAGGATCTTACTATGTAACCCTGGCTAGCTTCAAACTCGGACCCAAGCTGCCTCTACCTCCCAACTGCTGGGATTAAAGGAGAGTACCAACATACCCAGCCTCTGTTTTTTGAAATCTACCTATGTTCACCTCCAAAATTAAAGGATTAAAGGCATGGGCCACCAGGCTCTGCAAAACCTTTATTCTACCTTTGCCTCATGTGGCCTAAGACTGGTTTCAAACTTACTAGTGGCTGAGGATGACCTTGAACTCCTGATCCTTTCTGCCTGGGAACTGAACTCAGAGCTTTGTTAGTGCTAGACCCAGCCTCACAAACCTTTGTTCTAATAATTGCAATTCCCTTTTAAAGGGGGTATTTTAACTCCGTATTTTCATTCCTCTTTTTCATTCAAACCCAATGCCCTTTATCACTGAGCTGTAACCCTAAGCCCCTTATATCCCAGTGCTGTTTCCTCCTAGGAACAGAGCTAAGCACTTTCCCAGTAACATTTTAGGCAAGTTTCTGTCAATGTTATTGACAGATTTTTTCTAATAATCCTCTCTGATTTGCTCCATGTTCCCTTCACCCTTCCCTGTACTATTAACCTGGCAATTTTGCTTGTAGTTGAGAGTGAAAGCAAATTCCAAATCACAGTAAATTCACTGGCCCTGTTCCTTAGTCTGGCCTTTGCTGAAGAAAAGGTAGGGGCACGAAGGACTATGGGTGTAAAAGGTCAGGCACTACCAGAAGAAGCCCAGCTTGTGTTTCAAATACAGGCTCCTGGACTTGTGTCCAGCAGATGAATCTTCAAGACTTGGAGGAGAGGAAAGGCTACTTCACAAACACCACAGAGTTTGGATTTCTAGAGGCCACCCAGGCCAAGAATACATCCCTAAGAGAAGGAAAAACAACACAGTTATTATAGCCTAGATATATTCTTTAACTATCGTTTATCTTCTCAATGAAAAATATATACAAATAATTCCCTACATCTCCAAAATATAACACTATCATCTTAGAAATATAGGAACAAAGAGCCTCCAAGGTCGAAAGTGATGATGATGCTGACCCATCTCATAGAGGTCTGGGGACAGGACACAGGTGCCCTGTTTCATGGACATAGGTAATGTCCTGGAATGTTTAGCATTTACTCTGCTGTTTTCCCATTACCTATCCCGCACCAATCTCTTGGGCACTGCTATGTGAATGAGGCCATGACTCATGCCAGGCAAGCTATTTTCAAAGCCTCCTTTGAGTAGCTGCTCCAGCTAAGGCAGTCCTGACTGCGTACTCGAGGTTACTCCAGCTAAGGCAGTCCTGATTGTGTACTCGAGGTTACTCCAGCTAAGGCAGTCCTGACTGCGTACTCGAGGTTGCTGTGTTTCTCAACAGCTAGCATAGCTAACTCTCCAGGAACTGCTGAACTCACCTGCAGTGCTTCACCACGCATTCATTGCTGCAGTACTCGTTGTCCCAGTCCTTACTGATGACAGGAGGGTTCTCACAGCCAGACCTCACACATCGAGGCTGAGGTGACAGTGTCACAGGGGATCCACTCACCAGTTCAACATCCATCTGAGAAGGAGACTCCACCTTACAAGAGGGAGCAAACAAGGATGTACTAGAGTGCAACCTACTACTCAAAACATCACAGGCACCACACCCCTCACAGAAGGAGTTTCAGGAAAAGGTGAGTTCCTAGTCTTCTTCATAACCAAGCTTTAGAGTTCTGATAAGCAGAATGACATGAAAAGTCTATCTAAGAATTTTATTTTAAAATAATTTTTTATAAGTTAAAACTGGCATGCAGATGCAGAAGAATCAGATTTAAGGCTGTCTTTGGTAACATAGTCTATCGTGGCCTACATTAGATAATGTATCCCAAACAAATAACAGAATTCAAATAACAGAATTGGATTTTTTTTTTTCTTTTTTGAGGAAACAATACAAGCTTACCTCAGGAACTACATCTGTGATCATTTCACAAATTGTCTCAGGAGAGGTTGCCTCTGCTGTGTGGACCTCGGGGCTGCAGGTCAGAGGCTGCTCAGGGCTGCTCTCCACAGCTGGAGGGATCAGGGCAGTCTGCATTTTTAGAGTGGGTGGAGGCACAACCTTGCTCTGCAGAGGCGGCGGCTGCTGTTGTAAATTTATTCTAACTTTCTGAGGTGGAGGTTGTTGCATGGCCTGAAGTGGGGGCGGTTGCTGCAGAATGGTGACTTGCTGTTGAGTTGGAGGCTGAGGCATCTGTTGCAATGGAGGAGGCTGGAGTCGGGGTGGAGGCAGTTGCATAGAAGCAGCAGCTGCTGCTGCCGCCTGCAATACTGACCGAGTGACAATCTGGGCCTGCTGGCTGGGCTGAATAGTAGCTGTACTTGTTTGACCTAATTGGAGCCCACGGGAAGTAACCACAGTGGCTGGGATAACAGTAACCATTCCTCCCTGAGACATAGTAATAGAAGAAGGCAACATTTGTTTGGTAATAATCAATTTGGTGATATTGGGCTGACCTCCGGCCCCTGAGGATGCCTGGTTTGCCACGTAAGATGAAAGTGTGGAATTAACTACAATGCAAGGGGACAAAGCAGGTGACTCTGTTGAGGCTGGTGCTGGAGATGCTGGGTCAGCAGCAGTCACAGGAGGAGGTGACGGAGTCTGTGACTGTGGGACAGGATCTAATTCCACTGTTTCCACAGTAGCCTGAAGACCAAAACAAAAGACAACACATTCATTCTCATTACATTTCAAACAAAGATATGTAAAAGACAGAAAAATAAAGACTAAGAAAACGCTGAAAATAATGGAAAAATTCAAAGACTATTTAGGTGAGCTTATGATATGAAATACTGGGGGAGCTTTAAATCAGTCTTAACACAGTGTAATAATAGGTCCACAGAGATTTGTTTTTATTTTTATTTTACCTGCACACATGTGCACCGTATGTATGCTAGAGCTTCAGGAACTGGAGTTAGAGATGGTCCTAGGCTACCGTGTGAGTGCTGGGAACTCAGGTCCTTTGCAAGTACAGTCAGTGCTCTAACTGCTGAGCCATCTCTCCAGCCCCTCCACGCGTGTGTTTGTGTATGTGAGAGAGAAAGATTGAGATTTGCCTATAATAATTTTTAAAAAATGAATTGATTTAAGGCATCCATTTACTATCATCTTACCTGACACTCCTGATTGTCTTTATAAGCAGCCAGCGCCTTGAGATACTCTTTCTTGGCAGCTTCAGTTTTCCGCTTATACACCTAAGAGAAAGACATCATTTCAAATGAACCATACTCCTTACACCAAGAACTCAGTCTAACCACAGACCACTCCTGTCAGTGGAGCAAGCAATAATGACAACCTTAATGGCAAATTCACTCTACTGTCTTACTAGAATTTCTACACTTCTAAAGTAAACAGCAACTCATGCTCATTGCTATATCAAAAATAAAACCACCTCCAAATTGTAAGATCAGTAGCCTGTATAACCCAATACTACCCAACTCCAAGACTTTTCCCCTGTAAATGTGCTAAGTTATCAAAGATGGCCCCAAGAATCCTTACCTCTTGTGTGCCTCCCCATACACACACCAAAAGCTGAAGGCAGTTCCTCGTCTATTGAATCTGGGCTATCTCTGTGACTTGTCTGATCAGTAGAATGTACCATATTTCTTAAAACATGAGAAACTACATGAAGGAACAACGCACCGACTAACAGATGGTAGTAACTGCCAGCTATAGCCAGCCATATTCTATCATTTTGTTACAATAGTAAGAAATTCAGGCAAGAACAGCAGAAACACCAAACTAACCCAAAAGGATGAGGGTGAGAATTAAAGCAGCAACAAATAATTGAAATATGGTATATTAATAATATAAAATAATAAACCCAACCTTTGTTTTAGACACTGAGGATCTGCTTTGACAGGAGACACAGGCATGTGGGGCAACGGGATAATTATAGCTATCTTCAGTTTACATGTTGCCATGATCCATGTCCCTCCACCCACAGCCCCTGTGGCACACACCTTCAAGCTAACCTTTGAAATCCATGATCTGCCTCTACTTCCCAAACACTATATGTGCATACCACTATTACTGGTTGATTTTTGAATTTCAGTTTAAATTAAGGGAGATTACAGTTTTCAAGTTTACAGTTCATGAGAAGGCCGTTAATGAAATTGTACCTGAAACTTTGAGGCATAGTTTTAACATGCAACTTACCAAGAAATAGCTTAATTGTACAAATAGGAAAAATACAAGGCTTTAGGAAGTTAACCTAAAAACTAAACAGTTGAAGACACAAGAGGGATTAGGCACTATGAATGGATGCCACATGGAATGTTGAAATAAGCAAACCAGACTATCCTAACCCTATCATTTAGAAGCTGTATGACCTTAACTGGGCAATGAACCTCAAAGTCCCATCTTTAGTTTTTTGAGACAAGGTTTCTCTGTGTAGTCCTCGCTGTCCTGGAACTCACTCTGTACACCAGGCTGGCCTCAAACTCAGGTCCACCTGCCTGTGCCTCCCCAGTGCTGGGATTAAAAGCATGTGCCACCACCACACCTGGCAAAGTCCATCTTTAGTAAAGAGGAGAATGATGGTTATTTCACAGTTTAGGAAAGATGCAGTGTTTTTATAATGAACTTTTATCAATTATTTATTTTGTGTATATGTGTGTATGTTTCTGGAAATGCATATAGCAATTAGAGGACAGCTTATGTAAGTTAGTTCTTCTCTTTTACCATGAAGGTGTGGGGCTCAAACTCAATAAACCATCTTACAGTCCTACTTAGTTTGGTAATGGATCTTCTGGGGTAGAGATTTAGTTCAGCAGAAGAGATGAAGCATGAAAAAAGCCTTGGGGGTTTGCTACCAAGCACCACAAAAAATACTAAATAAAAATGATTTTTTTCTGTAGCTGTTAAGATAAAGGATGCATGGCTAACATTAACAAAGCACTGACAGCTAAATACCTGTGGTGGTGTGAATAAGAATGGCTCCCATAGGCTCATATACTTATTGGAATGCTTGAGAAGGATCAGGAGGTGTGGTCTTGTTGGAGGAAGTGTGTCACTGGAGGTGGGCTTTGAGGTTTCAAAAGCCCAAGCCAGGCCCAGTGTTGCTCTCTTCCTGCTGCCTGCGAATCTTGATGTAGAACTCTCAGCTCCTTCTCCAGCATTAGATCTGCCACGCTCCCCATCATGATGATAAAGGACTAACTAAACCTCTGAAACTGTAAGCGAGCCCCAATTAAATGCTCTCCTTTCTAAGAGTTCTGTGGTCTTGGTGTCTCTTCACAGCAATATAACACTAAGATTCTGTTCAATTAAAACCTTAGAAAATGTTTACTACCCACTAGTCACCTGCTTTTGCTCTTCTCCAAGACTGTCCCACATGGAAGCCACAATCTTCGACACCTCACCAAAGGTAGCATTAGGGTTCTGTCCCTTGATGGCAGCCTGAGTATCACGGAAGAATAATGCATACGCAGATACTGGCTTCTGAGGTTCATTAGGGTCTTTCTTTTTTCTCTTCTTGGGAGCCTTTTGCTTTTTCCCTGTTTCCACTACCACTGTCTTCTGACTCGCAAGTTGCTGTCAAGGAGAAAAATGGAGAGAATTAAGAAAGGGTTTTTTTTGTTTTGTTTTTCGAGACAGGGTTTCTCTGTAGCTTTGGAGCTTGCCCTGGAACTAGCTCTTGTAGACCAGACTGGCCTTTGGGATTAAAGGCGTGTGCCACCACCGCCAGGCTAAGAAAGGGTTTTTGATAGAATAAAATTAGGCTGGAGAAATGGCTCAGTAGGTAAGGAAGAAAAGTAGCCACAGCCATGGCATTTAGGCTAAAAATGGAAGCAGTGGTTCTGAAAGCCATATATGTGTGTATGTGAGAGTCACTGAGGGCAGTGACTAAGAAGCACACTATAAACAAAATCAAGAGGGAGGAGCCACACCCAGAACCAAGGAAAGATGATCAGGCTTTATCTGGCAAGCATTTTACCCTCAACTAACAGCAGAATGAACTCTGGCAGGGAATGCCTACCCTCCGGAAATCATCAACGCCGTCCTCGTGAAGTGAACTGGTAGGTGACGGAGTAGTTGAAAGACGATCCTCAGGTGACTGGGCAGGTGGCAAGATGGTGCTACCTCCTAAACTCAATCCAAGTTGAGAACTCAGCTCTGACTGATCAATAGTAGTCAACTGGCTATGCCCCATTAAGCCAGATGTCATGTCTGTCATTGGTACATCAATTGTAACAGGTGGGTTGGCACTATACTGAGTTCCTATAGAATGGTCCAGGTCCTGAGAGAAGCAGAAGGACTAATTAAGACACACAACATTAAAAAGCATGTCCCCCTCCTTATATATCCCTGGCTTATGTAGACTGTGGTCACTTAAATCTTATAGAACATCAGATAATCTGTCTACATGAAAAATATGTTAAGAGGCCAGACATGGTGGCACCTATCCTTAATTCCAACACTCAAGAGATAAGAGGAAGGGGGTGATATCTCTGTGAGTTTGAGGCCAACCTGATCTACATATATGAGTTCTAAGTCAGTCAGGGCTTCATAGTGACACCCTGACTCAGAAACAAGCAGAGAAGGACAAATACTTCATTTAATATATCCTGCGGGTAGTGAGAACATACAATCTATACCCACTAGCATCTTCTAACAATAATGTTTACAGTGGTAATGCATGGGCAATGAGCACAGGAGCTGGGGTGGAGACAGATGCTGTCATCAAACACATGAGATGGAGATGCTTAACACCTATAAAAGCTGAGTTTATAATTAGCACTTTATTTGGCTCAGCCCATTTTTTTTATTTATTTATTATGTATGCAATATTCTGTCTGTGTGTATGTCTGCAGGCCAGAAGAGGGCGCCAAAACTCATTACAGATGGTTGTGGGCCACCATGTGGTTGCCGGGAATTGAACTCAGGGCCTTTGGAAGAGCAGGCAATGCTCTTAACCACTGAGCCATCTCTCCAGCCCCCTCAGTTCATTTTTTAATAAACCATTCTATGTGCCATTTACACATCTGAATCAAGACTGAAGGCTATTACAAACAAAACCCTTTTAAAAAATGAATTATTTTCATTTCAAATATCTAAATTAAGACTGGATACTTTACAATTTAAAATTATTTTTCAAGAAAATATCATTTACTCAAGTAAAATGAAGTATTTGTCGCTGAGTCTTTAGCTTACATAAGAAGAAGTTACAAGTACTACCCAAGTTTAGCAGGGACTAGAGATTAACTTCTGTCCCACTAGAGCCATCCCTAGAAGCTTGGTGAGCCTGCTGCTGTGTCCCCCCTTACCATAGTCAGGCCCCCACTCAGGAGCCCCCCGCCCTGCTCCATCAAGCCGTGGGTCATGCCCACAGGCATGTCCAATGTCTGAACTCCATATTGAGCTGCAAAGCTGCCGTCCTGTGAGGAAGACGGGTCTGCCAGGTCATCAAAGTGACCAACCACATCTGAGACAGCCAGGGAAGGGTCAGAGTCCAAGGAGATGGGTGGGATTTCAAATTCCTCATCGCCCAAGCTTGGTGTATGAAAGGTCTGTGTGGAAAAAGAGAAGGGATTAGTAAAAGAGGAGCTCACTACAAGACTGCCGGTATGCTTCTGCTTGGTTCCATCCCACTTTGTGACATGACCCCACAGAACTCAGTTTATAAATAAACCTCTTTTTTAGACTTTAATTCTTTGGTCACATGGCATACCTGAAACTCCGACATTAATCACAATGTTCAATTACTGTCTCTCTTTTTAGCCTTTACCACCTTTAAATTATCTCTCCTGTTTGAGTAAGTCAGCACAAGTAAGGAAACAGCCTATGATGCTTAGTATTCCGCTGCAGACACTAATACATTATTTCACAATGGTACACTTGAATTTTCAGACCACAGAAATTAACTCTTGTGTTGATTAGCCAATCACACTTTGTTGTTTTAGGTTCCTCTAGATCAAATCCTAAAAGATATTGCCATAGAAAAATTACCTACCTCAGCACTCAAGAGGCAGAGACAGGCAAATCTTTGTGAGTTCTAGGCCAGCTAGTTCCAGGACAGCCAGAGCTACACAGAGAAACCCTGTCCTGAAAAACCAAAAACAACCAAACAAATAAAAACCTCACCACTTTAGAAATTTCAGCATTAACAAATAAGATTCTCATTTGTATAGGATTTGGGGGTTCAATAATACCAAGAAAAAGGATAACTGCTACAAAGTGAACTTGAGGCCAGCCTAACTTACATAGCAATACCTTGTCTAAAAAACAAAAAGTAAACAAAAAGAGATTAGTGCATGTGGCTCATTGTCCCCTCCTGAGTCCGACTAACAATAATTACTTTGCTGGTTTGTTGGTTCCCCCCACCCTTTTTATTTCCTTCCTTCCTTTCAAGACCTAATCCCAAATGCAAGCCTCCTGACTACTGGACCACCATACCCAGCTTCACTCCTACCTGGAATGGGGCCACTATTCTTAGGACTAACAGAAATATCTAGTTTCAGATTATATGACAGCTTCCTGTCAAATAGAAGCAACTGTAGCAATAAAATATAAGTAATAAGCAAGAGGCTTTGTACAAAGAACTGTGGCTCCTGGCTCATGACCTTGAGCAGGTTTTCCTTATCTGTAAAATACATAAAACAGAGATTTATGGCACAGTGGTCACACCTGCATCTCAGCATGCAGAGACTGAGCCAGAAAGATTACCATGAGTATCAAGAGGCTGGGCTATACAGATAGTGCAAGACCCTATCTCAAGAAAAAAATAGGCCTCATGTGGACACATGTCCCTTTAATCCTAGCACTCCAGAGCAGAGGAAATACACTCAGCCTAAACTGTTTCCAAGCTCTGGGCTTTTTATTATGTGTATAAGAATAATACCCAGGAGCTAGTGAAATGGCTCAGTGTGTAAATAAAGGCGCATGCTATCCAGCTTAGCTAACAACTTGAGGTTATTTAATCCTTGGGCCCTACATGGTAGAGGGAGAAAACTTACTCCTCACCAACCTCTTTAGGGGTGCATGTGTGCCTGCACGTGTGTGTGTTAGAGACAGAACGTACAGTAAATAAATAAAGGCCAGGCAGTGGTGATGCACACCTTTAATCCCAGCGCTCTGGAGGCAGAGGCAGGAGGATCTCTGTGAGTTTAAGGTCAGCCTGGTCTACAAGAGCTTAGTTCCAGGACAGGCTCCAAAGCTACAGAGAAACTCTGTCTCAAAAAACCAATAGATAAATAAATGATGCTTAGATACTGAGCAAAGAAGGGCAGGAGAGATGGCTCAACAATTAGAAACATTTGCTGTTCTTGCAGCACTGGGGCTCAGTTCTCAGCACCCACTCTGGTGGCGCCTTCCGCCCTCTGCATGCACACAAAGACTCGAAACAAACATGGAAACTACCACTTCCCTCCTCTACTCATCCTCTCCATGTTCTCTATCCCCTTTCATTTGTCCTGAGGCTTGAACCCAGAGTCTATTACATACTAAACAAAAACTCTAAAACTGACTAAACTCTAAAACTAACTATCCACTATTAAAAAAATAATTCACTAGAGATAGTAGTTAAGAGCACTTGCTGCTCTTCAGGACCTAGGTTCTATTCCTAGATGGCTTACAACTTTAACTCCAGTCCCAGTGGATTTCATGCCCTCTTCTGACCTCCATGGGCACCAGGCCTGTTGTGCACAGACATATACGCAGGTACAACACCGATACATATAAAATTTTTAATTTAAAAAAGTTTCTTGTATATATCCTAAAGTGTGGTTATTATGGATCCTTAAAATAATTTTTAAAAACAACAGAATACAGCAGGAGAGACGGCTCAGAAGTTGAGAGCACTGACTGCTCTTCCAGAGGGCCCGGGTTCAATTCATAATACACACACAGCAGCTCACAGCTGTTTGCAACTCCAGTTCCAGAGGGTCACACAGACATACATGCAGGCAAAATACCAATGCACATAAGGTAATTAAAAAAAAAATAGAATAAACTGGGTGTGATGACGCTCACTTAACAATCCCAGCACTTAGAACAGTGGTTCTCAACCTCCCTAATGCTGCAACCTTTTTTACAATTCCTCGTGTATTGTAAAAATTATTTTTTTAAAATATTTATTTATTATTATTTATTATGTATACAATATTCTGTCTGTGTGTATGCCTGCAGGCCAGAAGAGGGCACCAGACCTCATTACAGATGGTTGTGAGCCACTATGTGGTTGCTGGGAATTGAACTCAGGACCTTTGGAAGAGCAGGCAATGCTCTTAACTGCTGAGACATCTCTCCAGCCCATAAAATTATTTTTGTTGCTACTCTGTAACTAACTTTGCTGCTATTATCAATTGCATTGTGAATAATGTTGTAATTTTAAAAGTGGTAAGAGAAAGATGCCATGCGACAGAGCTCATGGAGGGGTATTTTATTGGGGGAGAGGAAACAGGAAATAGGGGAGACTGGCCTCTGGGGACAAGAGCAGCAGGCAAGGCAGAGAGAGAGAGAGAAGTGGGGAGAGACATGCAAAGAAGCAGAGAGAGGGAGAGAGAAAGAAAGGATCAGACAGACAAATACAGAAAGAGACAGGAGGTGGGCGGGGGTCTTTTAAAAGTGTAGTGAATGTGCCCAGCAGGTTCTCCTAGTGGCTGTAGCCAAGAAGTGTCCTCCTGGAAACCCAAGGTCAGGCCAGGCCAGAGGCCTGAATACTAGCAAATATCTAATGTGTGACCCCTATAAAAGGTTATTAAACTCCAAAGGAGTCACAACACACAGGTCAAGAACCACTGACTTAGAAGGTAGAGACAGGAGGATCAGGAAAGTCAACGTCACCTTCAACTACATGAGACACTGAAAGCTAGTCTTGGCTTCATGAAGCCCTATCTCATAAAAGCCAAACAATGAAACTGAAAAGAAAATCTGATATAATAGAAAAAAATTTTAGACAGGACTTCATTATGTAGTACTAGCTGGCCTGGAAGGCAGAGAATGGCCGCCTCTGCCTCCTGAGTGCTGGGATTAAAGTGGTGTCCAAATACAAAGCACTACGGACCAGCCAACTCAACTGAGAGGAAGGAAAACTAAACCTGTACAGCACAAGCTTCCTGTCTGAAAAAGTGTAGCAATACACCATCCTCTGTGACACCCATTCTTTCAAATGGCCAATTCCCCACACAGCCAGTGCAGTCTGAATGGATCTCTGTAAACTGTTTAAAACATCTCATTTTCAAGCTATGCTTGTGCTTGGAATATTCTAAATAAGAGTTGTAGGTGTATATTATAAATACCTTCTCTTCTGGAGTTCCTATTTGGTAATGATATCTTTTTAAATTTTTTCAGAATTTCACACATGAAGTTCTGTACATGCCTTCTTTTTGTTCTGAAGACAGTTTTTCTGTCTAACAGCCCTGGCTGTCCTAGAACTAACTTTATAGACGAGGCTGGCATTGAATTCACAGAGATCTGCCTGCCTCTGCCTCCCAAGTGCTGGGATTAAAGGTATGAGCTATTACACTTTTTCCTTCTAAGATTTATTTTATATGTACGAGTTCGGATCAGCACCACATACCTGCCTAGTGTTTACAGAGGTTAGAAAAGAGAATCAAATCCCCTGGAACTGAAGTTATGGACCGTTATGAGCCATCACGTGTATGGTGGAAATAAAACCTGGGTCGTCTGCAAAAACAAATGCTTTAAATTTCTAAGCCATCTCTTTAGCCTCAATGTCGTTTGTAAAAAAAAAAAAAAAAAAAAAGCAATACTTGGCATAAGAACAGACAGAAGGACCAATGGAGACAAATACAAGACCCAGATGTCACTCCACACATCTTCCAACACCTGATTTTTGATAAAGAAACAAATATCAAATGGAAAAAAGAAAGCATATTTAACAAGTGGTGCTGGCATAACTGGATATCAACATGTAGAAAAATGAAAACAGACCCATATCTATCACCATGCACAAAACTCAAGTCCAAATGGATCAAAGACCTCAACAGAAATCCAGCCACACTGTACCTTATAGAAGAGAAAGTGGTAAGTACACTTGAACACATTGGCACAGGGAACCACTTCCTAAATATAACCCCAGCAGCACAGACACTGAGAGAAACAATTAATAAATGGGACCTCTTGAAACTGAAAAGCTTCTGTAAAGCAAAGGACACGGTCAACAAGACAAAACGACACCATACAGAATAGGAAAATATCTTCACTAACCCCACGTCAGACATAGGTCTGATCTCCAAAATATACAAAGATCTCAAGAAATTGGTAATCAAAAGAATAAATAATCTAATTTAAAAAAGGGGGGAGGGACAGACCTAAACAGAGAACGCTCAACAAAGGAATCTAAAATGGCTGAAAGACACTTAAGGAAATGTTCAACATCCTTAGTCATCAGAGAAATGCAAACCAAAACACCTCTGAGATTCCATCTTACACCTATAAGAATGGCCAAGATCAAAAACACTGATGACAACTTATGCTGATGCTGGAGAGGTTGTGGGCAAAAGGAAACACTCCTGCATTGCTGGTGGGAATGCAAGCTGGTACAACCTGTCTAAATGTCAGTGTGGCGATTTCTCAGAAAATTAGGAAACAACCTTCCTCAAGACCCAGTAATACCACTTTTGGGTATATATCCAAAGGATGCTCAATCGTGCCACAAGGACATGTGCTCAACTATGTTCACAGCAGCTTTGTTTGTCATAGCCAGAACATGGAAACAACCTAAATGCCCCTTGATCAAAGAATGGATAAGGAAAATGTAGTACATTTACACAATGGAGTACTACACAGCAGAAAAAAGTAACGACAGCTTGAATTTTGCAGGAAAATGAATGGAGCTAAAAAACATTATTTGGAGTGAGGTAACACAGACACAGAAAGACAATTATCACATGTACTAACTTATAAGCGGTTTTTAAACATAAAGCAAAGAAAGCCAGTCAACAAACCACAATCCCAGAGAAGTTAGACAACAATGCAGACACTAAGAGAGACTTACATAGATATAATCTACATGGGAAGTAGAAAGTAGAAAAAGACAAGATCTCCTGAGTAAACTGGGAGCATGGGGACTTTGAGGGAGGACTGAATGGGGGAGGGGAAAGGCAGGGAGGGGAGCAGAGAAAAATGTAGAGCTCAATAGATATCAATTAAAAAAAGCAATACTTATTTTTACTTATGTATATGAATGTTTTGCCTGCATGTAAGCCTGTGTTCTATGTGTCTGTAGTGCCTACAGAGGCCAGAAGAGGGTGTGAAAACTTGAGTTACAGGCCCTTTTGACCTGCCGTGTGGGTCCTAGGAACTGAATCCAGGTCCTCTGCAATAGCAGTAAGTACTCTTAACCACAGGTCCATCTCTCTAGCCCCTATAATGATGTCTTTTGATATGAAGAAGTTTCTAATTTGAAGGCAGTCAAAATTTTCAATTATTTTATGGTTAGTATTCTATATGGGGAGCTTTTTTTTTGCTATTCTTTTTGAAAAAAAGAATATTCTTCTAAAAAGAATTGCTAAAAAAAAAGTTGCCCACTTTTAAGTTACTTGTGTGAGGTTCAAAATAAGATTGACAATAAAACTCATATGCCCATTAACATAAAGATTAAAAGCGGGCATGGTGGACACACACACTTTTAATCCCAGCACTCAGGAAGGAGAGGCAGATGAAAACCAGCCTGTACGCATAGCAAGTGTGCCTCCAGCCAAGATTACATAGGAAAACCATCCCCCAAAGCAAAACAAAAACCATAAAGGTTAAAAATTCACCACCAACAAGAGGGGAAGAAATAAGAAGGCATAAAAAAACACACCCAGCAGTTTTGGCACACGCCTTTAAGCAGCACTCAGGAGGCAGAAGCAGGCAGATCTCAGAGTTCAAGGCCAGCCTGGTCTACAGAATGAGTTCCAGGATGGCCAGGGCTACACAGGGAAACCCTGTCTAAAAAATAATAATAAATAAAAATAGATAATAATAGAACCCAGGCCTAAAGGACGCTACTGAATCTAAGCTTAACTTAAACTTTAGCTGTGTCACCCTCACTAAACACAGGGCAAGCCTGGAAACTCCGTTTCTCGGGCAGTGCTGGAACACAGCAGGCCAAGAGCTCCACTGCCATAGTTCCTGGATGTAAAAGGGGCCACCTATTATGTTCAACTGCATAAAAGGGGCTGCTGGTGGAATAAATTGGAAAACTGTTTTTCTATGATGCTCTGGCAGTCCTGGAACTATGCAGGCCAGGCTGGCCTCAAACTCAGAGATCTGCCAGCCTCTGCCTCCTAAAGTGCTAAGATTAAAAAGGTGTGCAACAATTCACCCAGCTTTGTATTTACTTTTAAAATGCACTGTCTATGAATAAGGACAATGTGAGGTTTCCAGCACTTCAAACAATGAAATTAAATCATAGAGACCTCATTTGGAAGGAACAAGAGCAAGACTGAGTTTCTTTCCAATTCTGAGTCACACTTTCTGTTGCTTAGGAGATATTCAATAATTGTAAATTAAAAAATAAACTAGAAGCTGGGTGGTGATGGCACATGCCTTTAGTCCCAGCACTCAAAAGATAGAGGACAGACTATAGAGTTCCAGGACAGCCTGAGTTACATGGTCTTTAAAAAAAAAAAAAATCTAGCAACTACTCACTGCCAATCTATCTCTCAACTGTGCACATGTTAAGGATTTACTATAGGATAAACCCACAAAACAGCAATAAACAACTTTTGGTGCAAAAAAAAAAAAAGAGCAAATGATTCACATCGCTTTGGGGGCTGGAGAAGTATATAATTCTCAAAATAAGGTCCAAGGCTCAAGTGCTCAAAAAAGGGGAAATTTTCATACACTGCACCTTTTACTTTTGCTTTGCCTAAATATAAGTGTCATGCTTATAGCAGGAAAATCTGTCAACCAAGTTTTCTGGAATACATTAGAGCAGTGGTTCTCAACCTCCCTAACGCTTTGACAGTTAATACAGTTCTTCACGTTGTGGTGACCAACCATAAAATTATTTTGTTGCTACTTTATAACTGTAATTTTGCATGTTATGAATCATAATGTAAGTATCTGATTTGCGCCCCCTATGAAAGGGTCGCTGGGCTCTCAAAGAGGTGCGACCCACGGGTTGAGAATCGCTGTCTTACAGGCTCCAACAACAAAACTAACAAACCCTATTATTATAGTTATTTGACAACTGTGACCCAAAATATAAGTAATCTCAAAGTTTATAATCACTAGCAAACAGGTATGATGTATTCCTTTTATGTTCTCTGGCAGCCATTTCCTTCTGTCCTTCGTTAGCAAAGCAAGCAGAAACCACGTTGGTAAAAGTAACCATTTTTATCAGAAATTTCAAATGAAAAAGAGCCCTACAGAATTTAAGAATTAACACATGTCCGAGGTTATTGCTAGATAAACTTTCTTATCTCGATTTCTTTACTGAAAAATTTTTCTTCTTTGCTCTCTTCCAAGGTTGTTGCAACTATTTCACCCTAACCAATGCAGACAATTCCATTGGTTCTTCGCATTCAGAACCGGAATCCTTCCTTAAATAGGCAGTCTCCTCGACAGCCTGGTTTTCTGATGACAGCCGCTTCCCGTTCGTCGTACCCCTCACCCCCTACCCCCAACAGTCCTCTCAGAGGCTCTGGAAGCCTCGGTCGCCGACCTCCCCAGCTCCGTCCGCCCCCGCGCTCTCCCCCGCCGTCTGCCCCAACCGCTGACCAGGCCCTTCCGCGTCCCAGCGTCGCCAGCTCTTGCTTACCTCGGCCCCTGACAGGAAGGGATGCGAGGGCCCAGTTATCGTCAGGTAATTGTCATTTCCTCCGGGAAACTGTAAACCAAAAACAGCCGCGGGGATGAGCGAGCGAAGCAGCGGCGGGCTGAGACCCTCCCGAGACCCCTCGCTCCCCGCTGCGCCTACCTCCATCTTCGCGGCACCACTAGCAGCGTTCCAGCGTCCGCATCGCTCCTACCGGCCCCGCCGGGTTCCGCACGCGTCACTTCCTTAAGGAGGAGCGTCGCTGTCCGCTGATTGGACGGAACTCTGGCCGAGCCAGTCGCAAGCCGAGCTGCCCGAAGGCTCGCTGTCGCCCCCTGGAGCTTGGTGGGATGATGGCATGTACAAGAGCGCGGGGCGGCCCTAGAGGCGGCGTCGGGTACTCGGGAGTCAGCGAGGATTTCTGCAGAGAGCAATAGAGACGCGGCCCGAGCTAGAAGGGCTGGAGCGGTGGCAAAGAG